TGTTGGGGTCTGGCATAGAACAATGCTTTGTTTTGCCTCTGCTTTTTAAGGTGACTCCGTATTTTGGGTTGGTATGTTTTGAGCTACAGAACTTAGAAGGATCTTTTCATATCTCCAGAACTGCCCGTTCCTATGTAGTATATTTTCAAGGCTAAGGCAGTCACTTCTGCAGACATGCGAGGGGTAGGTGGGTGGGGTTTTTTGCACTGCTCCTAACCCAAAGATAGCCCCAAATCTCCTCCTCTCCATTCGGACCGCTCCAAGCAGCCATTTGTTCTTCACTTGTGTTGGACCGTCTCCTTTATCCTCTCTGTAGCTCCTTGCATTCTAGTTTGCCAAAGGTTTTTTTGATTTCAGAGGTCGTGAAACTTTGCCTTCCCCTCTTTTCCCCCAGGAAGTGGAGCGCAACCTCCAGGACGCCATGCAGGTCTGTCGCAACGTCTTGATCGACCCTCAGCTGGTGCCGGGTGGCGGTGCTTCGGAGATGGCCGTCGCTCACTTCCTGACCGAAAAATCCAAAGTCATGACCGGGGTGGAGCAGTGGCCTTACCGCGCTGTGGCTCAGGCTCTTGAAGTGATTCCGCGGACGCTCATCCAGAACTGCGGTGCAAGCACCATCCGGGTTCTCACTTCCCTACGGGTAAGGGCTGCCTTTCTTGAATTGCAGCCTTTTGTCCGTTTAAAAGAGTGTCTGAATCGAGGATATGAGAAACTTTGGCTCATTCGAGATGCTTTAGTTAGACCCTCATCTCCTGTAAGCGGCCACCAGCATGACCAAGACTTAAGCGTCTCATAGGAGACTCGGGTCAAAACATTTGATGGATGTCATTTTGCCTAGCCTTGTTCTGAAACCAGCGTTATGTTATATATTGCCATTTTCTGGAAATCATACAAAATGAAGTTGTGAAAATTAGATGGCATCTTAAATCTCATCACCGAGGCCTGGGTTGAATCTTCCAGGATTGGGCATATGGCTGCTTCATGATGTCTCTTCCTGCCTTCCTTTTCTGAGGCAGGAGACCAGGCAGGCCCGGACAGACTTTCATTTCAGAGAGAGACGGCCTTCCAGGATAATTATGTACAGTCATGCCCCGCTTAATGATTACCCCGCATTACGACGAATCTGCTTCATGACAATGTTTTTACGATTGCAAAATGATGTTTTAAATGGGTTTTTTCGCTTTGTGAAGATCAGTACCCTGTTCCGGGAACTGATTCTTTGCATTACGATGATCAGAACAGCTGATCGTTGGGTTTTCAAAATGGCCGCCTGGGCTCAAAATGGCTCCCCGCTGTGCTTAGGGACAGATTCCTCGCTATACAGGCACCAAAAATGGCCACCGTATGGAGGATCTTTGCTGGATTGTGAGTTTTTAGCCCATTGGAACACATTAACCGGGTTTTAATGCGTTTCAATGGGTTTTTTGTTTTCTCTTTACGACGTTTTCGCTCTACAGCGATTTTGCTGGAACAAATTAACATCGTTAAGCGAAGCACCACTGTATTTACCGCTCTGACTCAGTCTTTACTACTACTTGTGTTTACCATCTGTCTCGGAGTTTGTTCCTTTCTAGTATTTGTATACTTACTCTTTTAGCTTTAATGTTGTCTTTTGATTATTTAAGCTGCCTCTTTATCCTCCTTGTTCTCTCTTGAATTAACATCGTTAAGCGAAGCACCACTTGTGTTTACCATCTGTCTCAGAGTTTGTTCCTTTCTAGTATTTGTATACTTACTCTTCTATCTTTAATGTTGTCTTTTAATTATTTAAGCTGCCTCTTTATTGTCCTTGTTCTCTGTTTTAAATATTGTCTTTAACTGATGTGAACCACTGTTGTACACTCATAGTTTTGTCTTTCATTGATGTAAGCCAACTTGGTCCTTTCTTAAAGAGAAAGGTGGGATACAAATAATTTTAAAAAATGATTAATGAGACCAAAGGTACCCACATATTTAAACTTTGGGCTGTTACTGCCCATCACTAAGCCCTGAGCTAAACTTTTCAGCCTCTCAGAATAGGAAGGAGGGCCCTACAGATACTTGGAAGCCAGCAAATGATGGCATTGTGAGGAAGGTGTTTGGCCTGACCAGAAGGCAATTGGATTCACTCCCAGGATCTAAGTATTTTGTGGGGGGAGAGCGCTGATGAATGCTTGGACATAATCAGTAGCAGAAATACTATGCTTTGCTGTCATGATATGTGTAATTTCTTGTTTGCAGGCCAAGCACACCCAGGAAGGCAGTCAGACCTGGGGGGTGAATGGGGAGTCCGGAGCCTTGGCGGATATGAAGGAACTTGGTATATGGGAACCTTTGTCTGTCAAATTACAGACCTACAAGACAGCTGTAGAGGTAATGAAGATACTGCAAGGGAGAAGTGGGGGAGCTGTCATTTTGGGCCCCTGGGCACCGTCGGTTACAGGCAGAAGGAGGGGGGGGTAGATGGCCATCTTGTTAACTGGAGGCAGCATTTCTGGGTTGTTGGTTTTTTTGCTGAAGTTCTCTTCTGCATTCTCCTGCGTTCAGGCAGAACTCTTCTGCATTTTTGCACCATATGCCAAAGGTGCTTCACATCTTCAGAGGTTGTTCCTCCAAACCCACATTGTGCAACTTTGGAGGCCCCCATGTACATTCTTTGCTGAGTTTCTTAGTGAAGGTGAAACCGTTATCTGTTTTCATGGATACACTGCATTTTAGATATACCTCTCTCAGTGGGACATGCTGAAATTGTTAAAATACACCAAGTGCTCCTAATTGGGGCTTGTGAAAACTCCCATCTGTAGTAAAGTTTAGTAGCGAGTCAACAGAGGAGGTCTAACATCACAAAGACGGCATCAGATGTGTGTTGAGAATCTGAACTTTGATGAGGTCTTGAGAGCCACTGCTTTGGGACAAGCAGGATGATGCCCAGTTGAGAGCATTTTGCAGCGTTTGACAGATCTAAAAGGTTGCATCTCCCAAGGTGATTTTTCTTGTTACTGACCAGAAATATTTCTTCCACACCAGACTGCTGTCCTCCTCCTGCGTATTGACGACATAGTTTCAGGTCACAAGAAGAAAGGAGATGATCAGAGCAAGCAAGCAGGAGCCCCGGATGCAGCTCAAGAGTAACTTCTCGGAGTTTAGGAAAAACATGCTCCCGGGATTGCTGAACAAGGAACCAGCCTGGGTGAAATCTCGGCTGATGCTTTTATTCTTCAGCCCTGGGTGCAGGTGGGATCAGAATCCAAGCACTGGCTCGTTTGATGTTGGCAGGAGAAACAACAAAGGCCCCACAGTGCATTATTAGCTCCCCGTTCTGTTAGGAGACACTGACTTGTTACTTAAGTGTATTCTGTTACTTTGTGGCTTTATTAATAAAAATATCACATTGAGAGGTTAATTGTTGTCATTTTCCTCTATGATTTATTTGTCTAATTTATAGGCCCCCTCTCTCCCAATAAAGGACTCGAAGCCTTTTTTCTTGGTATGGCCTCAGATCCAGCCAGAGTTTCATACATTGGTCAATATCCTGTTCATGCTGGTGTAACATGAAGTTATGCTGGCGTAAATGTGCCAGGCATGATTAGGGAAGAAGGGAGTTGCGCTGTGCGGTTGCGCCATCTGTTGTACATCTCCAGCATGACCGATTTACAGTGTGCGGACAGAAATGTGTCGGGGATCGCATTTCCACATCAGTGGTAGTGCAACTACAGTGGTGCCTCGCTTAACGATGATAATCTGTTCCAGGAAAATCGCCGTTAAGCGAAAACATCGTAAAGCAAAATTTAAAAAGCCATTGAAACGCATTGAAACCTGTTCAGTGCATTCCAGTGGGGTAAAAACTCACCGCCCAGCGAAGATCCTCTGTACGGCGGCCATTTTCGCTGTCTGTATAGTGAAGAATCCATTTCTAAACAGTGGGGAGCCATTTTAATTACCTGGTAACCGTTTTGAAAATGCCGATCAGCTGTTAGAAAAACATCGTTTTATGAAGAATTGGTTCCTGAAGCAAGGAACCAATCATTGCAAAGCGAAATTCCCCCATTAAGACCATTGTTTTGCGATCGCAATTGTGATCGCAAAAAGATTGTCGTAAAGTGGATTTGTCGTAATGCGGGGCAATCGTAAAGCGAGGCACCACTGTACTGTGCAGAACAGAATTTTGGCCATTGTCTGATGGGACATCCAAGTTTGCCACGGTACATAACTTGAGTGTGGTCCACCTCAATCTCTTCCAACACCTAATCATTACGTTCACTGTTCACAAACTATCAATTCATTGCTTATTTTCAGATTTTCTGTACTGCTGAGTTAAGAGTGGGGAAACGTGTCACGCTTCAAGTGTTGGATTACAGTTTCCATCATCCCTAACCATGACCTGGGCTGGCTTTAATGGGAGCTGGAGTCCATTAACATCTGGAGGGTCACGGTTTCCCCACCCCACCCACTACAGGAACTCAAATCGGTTAACAGTATAGAAATTCAGATACTGAAGAGAGCATGGTGACATGGTTTTATAGAAAGCAGAACCGATGATCATTCCAGGTTCTGGAGTTCTGTTGAAATACCTGAAAGTGTATTGGAACAAGGTGATGGGGGCCTCTTTAGGGAGGACGCTGGTGCAACTCTCCACTCTTGACTGTGCAAGTCATTTGTGTATGACAGACATGTACATTATTGTACAATCGCTACCCAAATGTTGATCGTTTATGCTTTCAAATGGCCATTCCACCTTGAGCATCACTTTGCTTATTTAGGAAATTAAAGCAATGGTCCTATAGTTTACTGCGCTCTTTGGTATCTCCTGGTGGATTGGCATGTAAATTGGGTGCTGCCAGTCTGTGAGCCCTATCTGTTAGTACAACATACATTTATACAGAAAGAGGAACATGGAACGGTGGTTTTTATTTCCTGCTAAATACAGAACTGAGTTGCAAGTGCGTTTTGCTGATGTTAGAATATCACCCTGTGCACCGTGCAAAAAGTGCCAGAGCACAACTTCAGTTGAACATTAAGGAGTTTGGGAACGGATTTGTTAGATCCTGATGAAATTGATAAGAGAACCAGCTCTCTCACCCTCTTCCCTGGTTTCTCCTGTGCATAAAGCTTGCAAATGAGGGTTTGCTTCTCCTCGATTGCAGAAATGATCTGCAAGCAGACAAATGCCATGTTTTCCTGGTCTTTACCCCAGCCTCCACCTCGCTGGAGCACCAAAGAAATTGATCTGCAGTTCTGTGGTCAAACAAATGTTTTGCTTGCACATGTTTCTGTATGTTCCTAGTGTTTTGAAGCCAAGCTAGGAGAGACCCCGAGTAAAATCTTGCAAATAATATCAGTATCAAAAAAGATCTCGATAGTGTGAACTAGAATGTGGCAGCTTTTTCCCGGCCTTTTAAAATCCCAGCTTTTAATGAGGATCGGAAGGTTACTTCTCAGCTTCTGCTTTGCATGCAGAAAATCCTCCAGGTCACGCCGAGCACGAAACCCTGACTCTAAGCTCCCTTTTGGAGGGAGGTGTACAAGGATGAAATAGATTGGGAGTTGCCAGCTTCAAAATCAGCACGACAAAGAAAGCGCCAAGTAAGAGTCCGTCCCCCCGTGGCACCTTTTAGAACCACCAGGGCAAAACAAAAATCAAAATGGTAGAGACACCGCCACCAGGGCAAAACAAAAATCAAAATGGTGGGGACACCAGAGGAGAGAGCCTTCTCCGTGGCTGCTCCCGGAGACTCTGGAACTCCCTGTCACTGGAGGCTAAGCCTGGATCTATGTTTGCTTTTTCTCCAAGGAGGCAAAGACCTTTCTCTTTGGAATGGGGCTGCTTGAACGGTTTATTTATTTTTTTCCCCCAGATGGATTGTTGGACCTAACAGCTTTGAATTGTGTTTTGGTGTTGTTTATGGTTTTTTTAGGGATTTTCTTTAAGTTTGATATTTCTTTGATTTTGTCCACTCCCTTGTTGGCTCCCTTGAATAGGGTCTTTTCAGGACGCCCATTGCCTTGGCTCCCTAAAAGCCGAGGGTAAGGATATTTTAGGGTATTTAAAATTTTTAGGATATTTTAAAATAAAAAAAAACAACTTGCTGGCCCTTTAAAAACTCAAACCCACCATTTTAACAGGCTTTTAAGAGGAAGCCGCC